CCCCAATCTCATCCACCGTCACCAAGGGCTCGGCCTTCAGCTCCCGCTCCTCCAATTCCCGCCGGGGCCCGTTCCCGTGGGAGCCCGGCTCCTCCTGCTCCGAGATCTCATCCAGCGTCAGCAGCGCCTGCGGGTCCTTCACCGCTTCCGACAGCTCCTCCTCTTCCACCACCTCATCCACCACCACCAGGCCCTGGGGGTCGACGCCCGGCAGCGGCACCGGCGCCTCCTCCTCCTCCTCCCCGATCTCATCCAAGGTGACAAAGGACAGCTCACCTTCGGCTCCGACACTCTTCCCTTTCCTCTTCTTGGGCGCCGGCTCCGAAGGGCTGCCTTTGGGGGCTTCTTTTCTCTTCCCCCTCGGGGGGTTCCGCCGCGGCACCACCGGAGACTCGGCTTCCTCCAGCACCTCGTCCACCGTGACGAACTCGTCCAGGTTGAACGGGAAGAGCTCTTCCTCCTGGGAATGGAATATTCAACTGTAATCAATATAAAAAATAACCCCAAATTTAATTTGAGCGAAAAAACAAAAAAAAGTGGTCAGGGCTTAAATTGCAGCTTAAACATGAGTTAATTTAAATTAATGACTCAGAAATTCAACATTTCTGAGTAATTTAAATTAACTCAGGTTTAACCTCGTCCACTGTGATGAACTCGTCCAGGTTAAACGGGAAGAGCTCTTCCTCCTGGGAATGGAATATTTAACTGTAATCAACATAAAAAATAACCCCAAATTTAATTTGAGTGAAAAAACAAAAATTAAAAAAAATAGTCAGGGCTTAAATTGCAGCTTAAACCTGCGTTAATTTAAATAAATTACTCAGAAATGTTGAATTTCTGAGTAATTAATTTAAATTAACTTAGGGTTAACCCCATCCACCGTGACAAACTCATCCAGGTTGAACGGGAAGAGCTCTTCCTCCTGGGAATGGAATGGGTCACTGTCATCTCCAGGAGGAACACCCGCACATGTTGGGTACAAAAATTAACCCCACATTTCATTTGAGTGAAAAAAAAAAAACCAAAAACAAAAAGTGGTCAGGGCTTAAATAAAACCTGAGTTAATTTAAATTAATTACTGAGAAATTCAACATTTCTGAGTAATTAGTTTAAATTAACTCAGGGTTAATCTTATCCACCGTGACGAACTTGTCCAGGTTAAAGGGAAGAGCTCTTCCTCCTGGGAATGGAATATTTAACTGTAATCAACAGCAGGATACAAAAAATAACCCCACATTTAATTTGAGTGAAAAAACAAAAATTAAAAAAAAATAGTCACGGCTTAAATTGCAGCTTAAACCTGAGTTAATTTAAATTAATGACTCAGAAATTCAACATTTCTGAGTAATTAATTTAAATTAACTCAGGGTTAACCCCATCCACTGTGACAAACTCGTCCAGGTTGAACGGGAAGAGCTCTTCCTCCTGGGAATGGAATGGGTCACTGTCATCTCCAGGAGGAGCACCCGCACATGGTGGATACAAAAATTAACCCCACATTTCATTTGAGTGAAAAAAAAAAAACAAAAAACAAAAAGTGGTCAGGGCTTAAATAAAACCTGAGTTAATTTAAATTAATTACTCAGAAATGTTGAATTTCTGAGTCATTAATTTAAATTAACTCAGGGTTAACACCATCCACTGTGACGAACTCGTCCAGGTTAAAGGGAAGAGCTCTTCCTCCTGGGAATGGAATGGGTCACTGTCATCTCCAGGAGGAGCACCCGCACATGTTGGATACAAAAAATAACCCCAGATTTAATTTGAGTGAAAAAAAACCCCAAAAAATGGTCAGGGCTTAAATAAAACCTGAGTTAATTTAAATTAATTACTCAGAAATGTTGAATTTCTGAGTAATTAATTTAAATTAACTCAGGTTTAACCTCGTCCACTGTGACGAACTCGTCCAGGTTGAACGGGAAGAGCTCTTCATGCTGAGAATGGAATATTTAACTGTAATCAACAGCAGGATACAAAAAATAACCCCAAATTTAATTTGAGTGAAAAAAAAAACCAAAAAAAAAGTGGTCAGGGCTTAAATTGCAGCTTAAACCTGAGTTAATTTAAATTAATGACTCAGAAATTCAACATTTCTGAGTAATTAATTTAAATTAATCAGGATTAATCTCATCCACCGTGACGAACTCGTCCAGGTTAAAGGGAAGAGCTCTTCCTCCTGGGAATGGAATATTTAACTGTAATCAACAGCAGAACATAAAAAATAACCCCAAATTTAATTTGAGTGAAAAAACAAAAATAAAAAAAAAATAGTCAGGGCTTAAATTGCAGCTTAAACCTGAGTTAATTTAAATTAATGACTCAGAAATTCAACATTTCTGAGTTATTAATTTAAAGTAACTCAGGTTTAGCCTCGTCCACCGTGACGAACTCGTCCGGGTTAAATGGGAAGAGCTCTTCCTCCTGGGAATGGAATATTTAACTGTCATCGCCAGCAGGATATAAAAAATAACCTCAAATTTCATTTGAGTGAAAAAAAAAACCCAAAAAAAAAGTGGTCAGGGCTTAAATTACAGCTTAAACCTCAGTAAATTTAAATTAATGACTGAGAAATTCAACATTTCTGAGTCATTAATTTAAATTAACTCAGGGTTAACCTCGTCCACTGTGATGAACTTGTTCAGGTTGAACGGGAAGAGCTCTTCCTCCTGGGAATGGAATGGTTCGCTGTCATCTCCAGGAGGAGCACCCACACATGTTGGATACAAAAATTAACCCCAAATTTAATTTGAGTGAAAAAAAACCCAAAAAATGGTCAGGGCTTAAATAAAACCTGAGTTAATTTAAATTAATTACTGAGAAATTCAACATTTCTGAGTCATTAATTTCCACTGTGANTTAATTCCTGAAGGATTCATCCCATGGAAAAAGTGACCCACAACAGAGCAGCTCCTGAAGGAAAGACTCCGTGGAAGTGACTCATGTTGGAGCAGCTCCTGAAGGACTGACCCCAAGGAAGCTGGAACAATTCCTGACCCCAAGGAAGCTGAAACAATTCCCGACCCCATGGAATTCAGTATTTCCCTACATCCTCATTTCACAGCCCTGGCAGCAATCTCCTCCTTTCCAGACACGGAATGTTGGGAATAAAACTCGCCACAGGATGGGAACCCTCAGGAGACACCACACTGCACCCCGCTAATAATCAGTAATTCCACCTGGATTTGGAAATTTCCGGAAAAAAAACTTTCCATGTGAGGCTTCTGATTTTAACCAACTAGTTAAACATGGATTTGGAGGAGCCAAGAAAAACCATGGATTCTGGGCCCTGGCTCTGAGGTTCTCTGTGGTGGTGAGGCACAGGAGGAGTTTTCAAACGGGCAGGAAAGAATCTTCCAGCCAAGAAAACCTGGAGCATTTCAGGGGATTCCTTTGGATTTACCTTTGGGAGTGCTCTGCGTCTTGGGGACACCTGGAAAAGTCGTTTTCTTCTGCTGAGGCTTTGGTTCTGCATCTTCTGATCCCAGCTGAGCTGCTGGAGACAGAAATGCATGTTGGGATGGAACCATGGAAGCATGGAGTGATGGAATGGAAGCATGGAACAGAATCACGGAATGATGGAATGGAACCATGGCATGGTTTGGGTTGGGAGGCACCTAAGAGACATGGACAGGGACACCTTCCGCCAGCCCAGGTGGCTCCAAGCCTCGTCCAAGCTGGCCTTGATGTTCCTCACCTTTTGGCTTGGAGATTTCAGCCATTTCATCCTCTGGATTTGTATCTCCTAGAATTCCCATTTCTTCTGGTCCTGCAACAGCAACAATATCTTCGTCATCTTCATCCTCGGGCGGGTTCTTCCCTGGGAAAGTGCTTTCTTCCTCTTCATCGCCGACTTCGTCGACCGTAACAAAGTTCAGTTCCTCTTTGAGGTGATTGAAGTCGGCCAGGAAATCATCCTCGTCCTCGTTGACCTCATCCAGAGTCACCAGAGGGTTGTCCTCGTTGTCCTCCTGGATTTCGTCCACGGTCACCAAGGCGTTGGGATCGTCGGGCACCTGGGAGGCCGCGCCCTCCCCGGGGTTGGCCTTNTCCCGGTCCCGCGGACTTTGCCCGTCCGGGGGCGAGGTCGCCATGCTGGGAAAAGCTCTGGAAGAGGAAAATTTGGGAGCAAATCGGGAATTTGGAGCCTTTTTAAATTTATTTTTTTTCCCCTCCTCTCCATCTCCATCCGCCCGGGTTCTTCCCCCAGTCTGATTTTGATTTTTCTACTCTGAAAATAAATAAAATTAGAAATCGTGCAGTGAGGGAATCCCGCTCCATTTTCCGGCAGAAATCCATCCCGGTGCAATCCCGAATTCGGGAAAAAGCGAGGGAATTCTCCTTTTGCACTTTTCCTGGAGGGCTGAAAGAAAAACGGGGGGAAAAAATCTCCAAATCCACCCCAAAAAAAAAACCCAAAAACCCCAAAAATCTCTGAAATATTCCCAAGGAACAATCCCAGAGGCGCCACTCCCCCCTGGAACCTCGCCTTCCATAAAAACCCACTCGTGATTTTTTGGATTTGGATGGAATTCGGGATAAATTCCCAATTTGTGAAAATTCCCCTTTTTTCTGAATTTTCCCCGATTTTCCAACCCGGGTTTTGTTTTTTAGGGAAAGTGGAGCTCCATGGGAAGCAGCTGGAGATCGAGCACTCGGTGCCCAAAAAGCAAAGGTAAAAGTGGAGTTTTCATTGATTTTTAATTGATTTTTTTTAATCGTTATCATCGGAATTATTAATTTGTGATGGGGGCGGAAAGAAGAGAGGAAAAAACCAAAAAATTTCCCACTTAAAAATGTGAAAAATGAAGAAGTGTCAGAGGTTTTGGGCTGGGATTTGCCCAAAAATTAAACATTTCATGAATTAATGGATTTTTTCCCCCAAGAAAACTCGATCCGCGAGTTTTTCATTAAAATAAAAAGGGGAAAAAGGTGAAATAAAGAATTCTCCACGCGCTCCCGAGGTGATGGATGGATTTGGGCTGGGATTCCCAAACTTGTGGAAGAATTTCCCGGCTCCTTTTGGCGCCCGGGCTGGGAAATGAGGCAAAACCCTTTGTTTTGGGAGAAGGAAAAATTTTAAAAAAAATCGAAAAAAATTCATATTTTTTTAAAAAATCTGATTTAAAAAAGTGATTTTTGCTGGGGTAAAAAGAACAAAATGAACAGGCGGCTGCTGAGGGAGAGCAGGGGGGGAATCCTGGGTGAATTTCGGGGTTTTTGGGGTGAAAAGCGGCGTTTTTGGGGTTTGCCAGGCTCTGCCTCTCCCGCCCAGCCCATCCCATCCCTCTCCATCTTCCCCGGCCTTTGTTGTTCCCGGCTGGAGCCGGGAGCGCTCCGCGAATTCCTGCCCCGATTCCCGGCAAATCCCGCAAATCCCGCCCCGCTTT